TGGTCAATAGTACGTTGAAAACATGCTACTCCGTTGGTTACACCGAAAGGAATACGACGGAACTGAAATAGCTCTCCGCATGCTTCAAAAGCCGTATACGGTTTATCTTGCTCACTGATTGGAACTTGATGGTAAGCACTCAATAGGTCTAAGGTGCTAAAGACAGTATGACGGGAAATTTCTTCGATCATTTTATCCAGTCGCGGTAACGGATACGCGTCTAGGTATGTGAACCGATTAATGGCTTGACTGTAGTCCACTACCATGCGTCTTTTGTGGTTTGAATTTTTCGTGACCAGGCTGATGCTATTACCACAACCTTGTAAACAGTCTCTAGTTTGTTTGTCCCATACAAATTGGACCTGAACTGAACGAAGATTCACGCGACTCAACGACACTTATGCTGGTACAGAACTGTTTAGTGTCAGAGTGGCTGATGCTATTACCACAACCTTGTAAACAGTCTCTTGTTAGTTTGTCCCATACAAATTGGACCTGAACTGAACGAAGATTCACGCGACTCAACGACACTTATGCTGGTACAGAACTGTTTACAGTGTGTCAGAGTGGACCGAACAGGCAATAATTTACACACGGCTGGCCGCGGGAAGCATGCAGTGGAACCCCACGCCCAAAGCACCTCGCACGTATCGGTTGCTCACTGCGGTGCCCAATGGGCTCAACTCGCACGTGACCGGTGAACAGATGGGCCATTGGCCGACACAGGTGGGTTCAGCACTGATTGGTCGAAAATGTGGGCCAGTACCTAGTTGGGGACCAGTATTTAGTGCATTCCAGGTGCCAATGTCTGGGCCAAAAAGCGGGATCTCAACATTACTGGCTTTAAACATATCTTCAAAAGAACGTGTCAAGCGTGGTTCTTCGCCTCGTCTAATGTACTCTATGTACTCTATGTACTCATGGTGGTCCTTCTGAAAGCCACAGCTCAGAAGAATTGCCCGGGAATTAGACACGAAGGGGCTTATCTTCCAGGAAAATCTCGAGATCGCTTTCATTCTTGTTGAGATGTGTGGCGTAAAATGCCCTTCTTCTTGTGGCTCAATATTCAGCTTCCTGAATCTCTTGTGGCGTTTTGTATCTTTATTTTACTTCCATTATAACATTACGTATTTCATCAATTGCATAATCGTTTTTTGTTTGAATACGAAAAAATACAAAAACGCGCACTGGTACAAGTTCTCATAATACAAGCGTGGTCATGTGCTTTGACTCTCTCTTCTGATTTCACTCGCGCTTGCGGCGGTCATTCGCGAGTCTCATGTACTAACTCTGGTACCAAAACATTTCAGACATCTTCGGAATCTATTATGTGGGAACTGTTCAGAAGAAGACCTCTGGACCAACATAATTGGATTATTGTTTATTCTCTGACCCGGACCAACGACGAACTATTTTAAAGAGAACAATTGTTAGTGAGTCTGTTCCATCTGATCTCTTTATTTTTGTATACCCAACGTAGCGTAATCATTTTTATTTCTTTGCCACACACTCCTGGTAAACTAACTTATTGGGTAGCCAGACCACTACAAATTTGGTGAGCCCGAGTATTTCTAGATATTTTTTGAAGGCTTTTTTTCAAGTCGTCGTGATTTTGTTTCTTTTGCCCGGCAATTATGGAGGCACACTTTGATTCAGCGGATTTAGTCGAGAATGCAATTAGCATACG